GTTCTTTGCTACCATGTCCACCATATTTGACGTTTTGAATGGTGTCCAATCACTGAAATGTATCCCCTCCCAAACTCACCTGTGCTCTGTCATTGGCTGGGGGGAAACACAGAAATGTCCTGTGTCAACCAAAACATCAAAATACAGGCAGAGGACAGAGGACAGTCATGTATGGAGGCCCAGTGATAAGTGATGAAATCTGAGCAGCATTAAGTTTGTACAAGTCTATATTTTATATTTCAGGAAAAAGCTACTGACCTTATCTTTAAACTGACAGCTTTATTTGTGTTGTTTTCTTTGGTTGTAGTATACGAACTACATGACAAGCAAAACAAGCTAGTTGGGCTTAACCATGAAATTAATTTGGCCTGCCTTAACTCCACCTCTTTTCCCGCCTCTAGAGAAGCCAGAAGTTATATGAAGTCGGCATTTCAGATATGGCGACACCGATCGTTGGACTTCGTAATGCCTCTTCATAAACCAAATAGATGACATTCCTGAGACCGTGTCCATGTTTTACACACTTTATGGTTTCTGTCTGTACATAAGATTTATCATTTTATTACCTGTGTTTGAGGTGTGCCTCCAGGTCACAGCGCGGCATGCTGAGGGAGCAGACCGGGGTCAGTGGGCACGACACTGACAGCTTGTCCAGGAGTTTGTGAACCAGTATGCTAGACCTGCGGCACGCCTTCAGCTGCAGCCGCGTTCGGTCCAGCGGGCAGAAGTCCCTCTCCTGGAGGAAGCTCCGCAGGCAGCGGGCGCAGAAGGTGTGTCCGCAAGGCGTGTCGAGTGGCTGCACCAGCGGCTGCAGGCAGATGTGGCACACCAGGTCGTCATCCACCTCCAGACGATAGTTGTAGAGGTGGTTCTCCCAGCTGCGGTGAATCTGGCCACACTCAGGACACAGAGCCTCCAATGCGGTCTCCACTGGCCCGGCTACAGCCACCTCGCAGCCCGGGCTGCCCATCTCTGCTCCTTCCTCACAGCTCAGCTTTGGCACAAATGACTCCAGTGGGGCAGCAGTTTTGGGAAGGGGCACAGACACTCCTATCCCATAAGCTTCACAGGATGAACAAGTTGCAGAGAGGACAGATGCCCCCCAGTGGCTGATGGCACATCACCCTGCAGGTCAGAGGGCAAAGCAGGGGGGTTAAACAGCTGTTTCAGACAAACAACAAGTGTCTGATTATGTGCCTGTGCATTTATTCATGTGGCAAATGCTTTGTGCACGTGTACCCATGAGTCTGCATGCGATCAAGAGAGTGGCACTGTGTGTGTGTGTGTGTGTGTGTGTGTGTGTGTGTGTGTGTGTGTGTGTGTGTGTGTGTGTGTGTGTGTGTGTGTGTGTGTGTGTGTTGAGATTATGTATTGCTGCTCCTGTCCACTAATCTGGCAGTATAATCTCTCTTTTGCTCTCGCCTGCTGCAATCTTCCAATTCCACAGAGAGGGAATTATCTGGGATTGAGGCAGAGAGAGGACACAGATCAGAGGAAGCGGGATTGGGAGAGCAACAGAGAGGGAAGAATAATGCCGGCAAGAGGTAACAAGGAGCGAGGAGGAGGAAGAAGAAGAAGAAGAAGAAGAGGAAAAGATAAGAAGGGGGGGGGAGAGATTAATGGGATATAAAAATCTGACAGAGAAAAAAGTACAATAAGACAAGAGGAAGGATGTGTCTAAGGAAGAGATAAGAAGACAAAGGGAGAGGAAATAGTGGGAATTCTTTAAATAACCCAGAAGCGAATATGATATTTCTAGCTCAGGCCATGTTCAGACGCACTCAGTCTCCTCTGCAACAGAAGGAGAACATGCCCAAAGCAAAGTCTTGAAATAAAGCACTCCACTGAGGATAGAGCTAATGCACTGTACGTGCTGATCTTTTCCACAGTGTTTCACATCCAAAGCCATTCAGACCTTCAGACGAGTCGTCGCCCCCCCCCCCCGTGGGCCTGATGCTGCCGGCGGACAGCAGAGGGCGTGCCTCAGCATAGCAAGGCGGCCAAGCCACACTGACTACCTGCCTCTGTTCCAGCTGGGGGTCTGCTCCTGTCTCCATGGCGACCTGGAGCCTGTTCTGTTCAGTGGGGCTTGACATTCAGAGTGTAGCTGGAGAAGGATGCAGAGGAGCCACACAAACAGATGCACCCCTCTCAGCAGGATGCTCTGCTCCTCCCTGGTACAGTCTGAAAGCCTGTCAGACACCGCAGATAAAGACTAGAGCACCCCTTGGTTTGTTTTTTGTTTTTTTTGCTGTTTTTTCATCTCGTCTCCTTGGCTACCCATTTAAGATAACCTGTCTCCTTGGCTACCGGACCGGTGGTTACTTATTTCATCCTCCTTTAAGTACGTGCTCCTGTCTGTGTGTGACTGGCTGCTTGTGTCTCTATCCCGCAGCTGGACATGAATTAATCATGAGGACACAAGGCTTCTCTGTTCCTATAACAAAGCTGTGACATCACCACATCACACACACAAACACACACTCACACTCAAAAACACACGTACAGACTTGTAGATGCACAGGCGTAAGTGTACACAAGCTGAAACCCACCCACACATCATGCACTCGGGCTTTTTAGGGGTCTGGATCCTGCAAATAGTCTTTATCAATAAATAAAGTGTTAAGGTTTTTTTTACTGTGGCAGCAGTTTAGAGCCTTGGCCATGAAAAGCACTTAAATCTATTTTAAACACAGCTGAACTCTGTACAACAGATTGCTTCACCCAAGTCAGAAACAGACTGTCAAAAGCTCGTGAAAAAAAGATATTTTAATCCAACTGAATGTGTGTGTTTGTGTGCCAGTGTTAAGAGTCCAAGACCATGCTGCTATTGTCATTGCACTGCTTTCGTAGTAATAAATGACGGTGGGCCTATTGGCCATACACCTGCTCTGCACATTTTTTTTTCAGACAGGCTATGACAATGTTCTCTTACAACACTAGACAAGCCACGAACAACCTGGCCTGCAGGAATGACATTTTCCAAGAAGATAAGATGATGTTTTTTGGCCCCAGATTTAAAATCTCAGGTCCTGTCGGCTTAGCCTACATTTTCATAAACCCCATCTCGTCGTCTCTTATCTTCAAAAAAAAAAAAAAAAAATCCTGAAAGGCTGATATTCATTTGCAGGAACAGGCCTGCTGTCTGTCTGCTAAGTCTGTTTCAAAAGGCTGCTTTTTTTTTTTTTTTTTGTCAGGCAATGATAACAACAAAACCTGACACTGGTTTTGTTTTAAATTCGCATCATTTGTTTTAACTGTCATTGTCCAAAATAACATTGGCAACCCACCAAAATGTAATGTCATGATCTGTGAGCTACCCGCAGGCGTTCAACACATTTGATTAGACATGAGCATTTTTTTTGTAATCATTGCCCCCATCTGTCTGACTCCATCCCACCCTCCACGAGCGGAAAAGCTAGGACAGATGAAGCGACAATGGCAATATGAATGCACAGCCAGCCTCACACTAACAGCGTTCAATGCAGCCACAGAGCAGAAGCATTGTGTGTTGTTACCTGATCCGGATGCTCCTCCGCGCCGTGCACTCCGGCCCCAAAAAGGGGGGAAGATTATTAGCTGCGGGACCTCAACCACGCATTCACCGCAACGGCCCAGTCCGCAAAACCCGTCCGAAAACGCCCCCGTGCCTTTGGCGGCACTGGCCCCGCCCATTAAAAAAATCCGTCAATGGAGGTAGGCGGGGTCTACAGCTGTCAATCCACAGCAGATTCAGTAAGGACTTCTAAACGGCCTGCTAAAAAAAAAAAAAATGTTCCCTAAATGTTGTCTTTTTAAACCCTCACCATTTATTGTAAATTACTATGAGGTAAAAAAAAAAAAAAAAAAATAAAAAGTGTTGTACTGGATGTAAAAAAAAAAAAAAAAAATAGGCCTAATTGGTGTACGATTTTTTACTTATTTTAATATTGAGATTAAGTGAGATATGAATAAACTATCAACTTGTTTTTTACTGGGCTTGCAATATAGCGTTTTTTTTTTTGTTGAAGTAGGAACATTTGAAATGCTTTAAATTGAAGCATAATAGCACATGAGGTGTGATGGTTTTAATAAAACACATTTTTCATTGAGGCATCTTTAATGAAGGGGACTGAAGATGTAACCAATGGCTTAAGTGATTGCTCATGTATCTTTAAAAATTGTGTGCAAAATAAACTTGTTTTGAGTCTTAAATAAAGTCATTAATTGAGGCAATTGGTTACATATTTTCTGATAATAGTTCATGACTGCTGCAGATATGAATGTTAATAAATAATTAATAGAGTAGTAAATGCTGATATATAAATATATGAACACCTTTGCACTCAGGTGACTTTTGTTTGTAATAGGTCTATAGTTTTTTTTGTTTTAAGGCAAGTGTCATGTAGGCCTAATCAATGTTTTATTCTGAAGATAAAAATCTTGCATAATACATTTGCAAATACTATTATAAGGTTAGGTTACTTTCTTTGTACACACAGGTAGATTTGTTTTACAGCGTGTGATTGGACTGGCCTCCTTACACACACACACACACACACACACATACACACACACAGTCAACAGCAGTGACAGTATTACTAAACAAACAAGACTACGGTCACATACAAAGGCTAGAAATCTCTTTTTGATTTAAGCTTATTTATTCACCTTTATTTGTTTTTGTTCTTTTTTGTTTCTTATTGTATTTCATTCCTTATATTTTGTCTTTGAATCATCCATTCATGATTGTGTCTTTAAGGAAGCTTGAGAAAAAACGGTGGAACCTCTTCCACCTCTGTTTGTCATTTCACTATTGTAAACACAATACCAACTTCAACTTCAATTAAAAATGTTAAGACATTAAGTCTGTTGTTACTGTTACTTAAATTGTGCAAGGTTTTTTTTGTTGTTGTTGTCACAAGCAAACTGTAAATATTAAATCACAAAGCTAAACAATCAGGCATCGAGGAGGGCAGCCAAAAATAGGGTCCTAGCTGTCCTAAAGGACCAGGCGGAGAAGTAAACAAAAAAAAAAAGAAGAAAGATGGCTCCCTAATTACCAGATAGGAATCGATTCGGCCAAGTTTGAATTGTTGCAACGGATTCCTTGTTACAACGCGATGGCAGAAGATCCCGAACTGGAAAAGTAAGAAGCTATGTAAACAATGTTATGCTCCTTTAAGGGACAAGGCGCTGTTTGGACTCCTATCCGAGCCACCATAACCAGAAGTAGGGAGGCATATATTTAGTAGACAGCTGCTGTTGTTGTTATTTTGTGTTGCTGGTTGTAACGTAATCCTGCCACTTCTATCTTCGCTGTCTGGTTAAAGGTCGACTATATCAGTAAGTCTCCTCTGCTGATTCAGCAGCTCGGGTCAATCCGGGACACTGCTGCTGTCCCTCAGTAATGATCCACTTTCTCCTCTACACGGTGCATCACTCTGTATTCTCTCACTTAATTAAATCACTCTGCCCTTGGCTCCCCCCCCCCACTCCCTCCCTCCTTGAGGCTTTGTGTCGTCTTTTGTCCTAACTTGACTCTGATAGTTGTCTTTGTGTGTCTGTCCAGGCGTGCAGTCGAAGAGCTCCTGAAGGAGACTGACAGGGCTCGGGTAAGAGCAGAGACCATGGGCCCTGCAGGATGGTGAGTGCTGTGCATGACATAACCAGCTGTGTTATCCTGAACACATCAGGCACACTTATCCACTCTGTTACTTATCCCCTTGTTTGTACTTGATCTCTCTGTGTATCTCCTACACGAGGGGGTGCACAGCTCTGCCTTGTTCCTGTGCTGTACTCTCGATTGGTTCATCATCTTTGCCCTCCGTAGCTTCAGTGCGTAGCCTACCTTTCAGAAATGTACTAATTGTATTATATTTAAATTAAAAAGTAACGTGCTCCCAGGAGGAGTCAAAAATACTGGGTATGAAATGAGAAAACACCAATTTTCTTTGCACATTATAGCTCGCTGGTGGGGCAGTGGTTAGTGCGCGTGCCCCGTGTGTGGAGGCTTTAGTCCTCAAAGTGGGCGGCCCGGGTTCGAATCCAGCCTGTGGCTCCTTTCCCGCATGTCATTCCCCACTCTCTCTCTCTCTCTCTCTCTCTCTCTCTCTCTCTCTCTCTCCCTGATATCCAACTCTATCCACTGTCCCATCTCTCCATAAAGGCACAAAAAGCCCAAAAACAAATCTTTAAAAAAAAGATTCCCATGGTTGTAATATAATATCATCATGGAGATACAGCATTTAAAAGACTATCTTAATGCATGTGTTTAGCGCTGCTGCAGTTGAATAACTAGAATATAATTCCTGCCATTATTGCATGAGCTCCCTAATAATTAATAATTAAGATGATGGGTCAGTATTGTATTCTATTACTTTTTCATGGTTGTAATGGGTTTGTAGCAAGTTATACTTTTTACTGTATTGTTTAAATGACTGGAATAAAAGCCTGATTACATTTTTTGTTAATTTTTATAATCATTGTCTTTTAACTTTTAATGACAATACAAGCTGATTCCTTATAGAGGATTGTGACGACCATCCACAGGTCTCAGAGGAGTTCAACACTGTCAGACGTCAGAGTAAAACGCTTTGTTTGTTCACTCCTCTGTCAGGCTGAAGTGTCCCCTGCGGAGCACCAACAAGCGCTTCCTCCTAAACACCCTGCGCTCCACCGGCCTGCAGCGACGCGCCAGCGAGCCCAGAGCCGAACAGCCCTCCACAAGAGGGCGCCTGAGGAGGAGTGACTCCCCAGACAGAAGTCGAGACCGCAGCAGAACACCTCCCAGAGATCACAGGAGTAAAAGAGGACACATAGACCATAAACATCATCACAAAGACAGCTGCAATAACAAGGATAAGAGGAGGGAGAGAGACAAAGAGAGGAGTTACAGGCACGGAGACAACAGAGACCAGAGACATGAGAGGGACGGTCAGCCAGAGCAGAGACACAGACAGAGTTCATGAGGAACGATTCCTGTCCAACACTGGTTTTATAAAAGACACTCCTCCAGCAGGAAGCTCGGAATGGACACTCCTTAAACTGATCTCTTGCCAGCAAACACACCTCACAGAGCTGCTCTGTACAGCTGCCATGGTGGAATGTGCATAGGAAAGAGTAATTCATTTAAGTTTTAATTATTGTTAAGAGAGCAGAATCGATAACTTTATTTTATTATTTTAGAATATTTTTTGAGATATTGAGATTTACTTAATTGAGCACAAAGGTATTAGGAAAGATAATGTTTTTCATGTCCTCTTTTTCAGATTTACCACTGACTGTAGTGAACACTTAAGTGACCATTACGGCTCAGGAAGAAAAAAAAAAAAGTTTTTTATTAAACCGTGAACATTGTCAATCCCTCTCTTCTCTCACATGGCTACTAGTTTGGAGTAATTCCGTTTTAAATACAGTCCAAAACGCTTCAACATTAATTACATCATTACCACTGCTCTGTTATTATTCACTGGTCACAATGTTTGCATAAGGCATGCTCTTGTCGCCACTGGGTAAGCACATTTCTTTGCCTTTTCAGATTTTGACAGGTAAATACTGGCTATCAGAAAGTGTTTTGTTTGTCAAAGGGAAAGAAATCTTGTCTTCCTGACACTCCCACAGTGTTCTGGCACATGAGTTATAATAGCAATTTTATTTAAGTATTGGTAAAAATGACTTTTTGTTAATATAATAATACCACAATAACTAAACTTCTACTCTCCACTTTGTGTTGAACTGCAGTTTAGAGCTGCCTTTTCCCTTCCCTACCATGCGTTAAAAGTGTACACTCTTTTATTGTTCCACCTCCAGAGCGTTTTATAAAGGGTTCACTTTCAGTGTATTTGGTAAGGAATCTGTTATAGCTGAAGTTAAGCTGCAATTGTCCTTGCTTAGGTCGTTTCACAAAGTGGTGTGTCTGTGAAGTCTCCTTAAAATGCGTTTAACGCCCCTCATGCTTCATAAATCATGCTGCCCATGTCCACTGTCGTGCAGCATGGCGTCGGTTAACTGTTTCCTTCCTCTTTTGAAACAATGATCAAATATAAACACCATTAAGCCATAGAGCAGGGGGTCATTTGTATGGAATTGGTTTACTTGAACTTTATTGCGCCGCTGAGTGCCCATTAAGATACCGGGGAAAGTGCCATAATTGCTTTTGAAGAACTCAGTGCAAACAGAGTATTGATATACACTATCATAGTAAAAGACTTTACTATCATAGCCTGTCTTTTACGGGTTACAAGAAGAGTAGTTAAGTCACTCTGTTTATGTGGCAAAGCCTCAAAATGTTGCATGAACGCACAGGAGAGCTCGCGGGATAAAAGGGACACGCTCCACGCGCGGTCTTGTTAATTGAGTTCTGTTGCTCACTCAAACATAATTGGTTAACCACGAGGGCTGCTGTTTAATGGGGCGAAAAGACACCTGCTAAAGGCTAATGACTAACAAACAGAGCGAGAGTGCGTCCGTCCTGTTTGTTAAGGCGCGAGGGGCCCGTATGCGGGTCCCACGCGCGCTAAATGGTGTTAAATGATGCGTTTTCAGAGGTAAAATGGGTACTTTTTTTTTCAAAAGTCAGAAATGTGTGTCGATATATGAAAGCATGTGGAGATTAATTTAAATGATTCAGCTTTTCACCAGAGTTTCCAGGACAACTGTGTCTCCATCAGAGCCTCTTATCTTGCAGGTCAACCAATGTTTGCGCCCATATGTATCGATTTATCAGTGTGCACAGGAGAGATATAACCATATAAATTGTCGATGCTTCATTGTTTGAGAACAATCGTGAGAAACGTGTTTCTTGGTGCGCTCCAAACTCTTAGCGCTGCGTGTACATGCTCTTGTCTGTTGCTGCTCTCAGGGCAAACACAGGTGGATGCAGGTAAACGTTGACAGAGCGGCATTGATTTACGCGCCCACGGCCATTCTGTTCAATTTCGTGAAAAATCCCACAGGCTGCAGAATATCCTGGAAACTAAAGAGGGCTTTTGGTCTGCCGTTTTGAGCAAACAGTGAAACCAATGGCTTTGTCGCTGCTGGGTCACATGGTGGCAGAGTGACACACCTGTGCGGAGCCGTGAGGGCCCTGCAGTTGCGCCACACGGAGCAGAAGGTGATCGAGAGTTGACACGGCGCAGGTTCAGGTACATGTGCGGGTCCTCTGAGGAAGCCATGAATCGGGAAGAACATTTTTACCCCTCCCAGGTTTTCAAAGACTCCTGCGCCTACCAGAGATGCCATCAAGGGGAGGACTACAGCCACAGCCCGCCGCCTTGCCTCTACATGAGCAGGCAGGGCCACTCCGTCTACACTTCATCGGCCATGGGAGCCCTGGAGCAGGCCGGCCTTACTGACATCGCCCCCTCTTCTTACGGGTTATCTATGAGGGAGGATCCAGGTGTGCCACAGCTCCTCCATCCTCAGGGACTCCAACAGCAACCCCCGCCTGCTGCAGGGTATGGAGACACGGGGGAGCAGAGCAGATATCCGCTCCCTTTCCCCTGGATGAAAACTACAAAATCACACTCACATACCTGGAAGGGACAGTGGGCAGGTAATCCTTCAAAGCACATTAGTATTGCAATATGGTTTTTTGTTTTTTACTCTACACAAACATTTTCTGTAGTTATTGTACCACTTAGTGATGTACAGGCCTCAACTGACACCATGCTCTTAACAGAATAATCTGGTAGTTCCAATGTACCTCCAATGTAACAGGCACGGAAAGGTCAGTGGTTGCCTTCATCAGGTCTTATTGTCAAATGTGTAGGTTTTTTTTTAACGTTATTAAAACTCCCATATCTTAAACCAATAAGAAGTTAAATCATATTGAGCATAAAGGAGCGCTGGAACACCCACATCTACCACAATTCTGTTTATATATCGATAAAGGCCTGGGTTAAAAACTAAAATAATTACTTTTTATATCCATTATATTTTTTTAGAGTCGTGTTGGCCAAATGATGCCGGTGAATCAAAGTATTGGAAAATTAAATTGGTCTTTTTTGGCCATTGCTCGCAGGTATATTGTTAAAGGTAATTGGCTTAGGTTATGGCCCGAGTTAAAGTTAGATTTGTCATGGTTGGTTCCTTTAAATAAAGTGAGGCTACGAACTAAACATCAAATAAGAGTAAAACCTACTGTTTCAGGAGGTTTTTCCAACTTCTTTCCTTTGGATGAAAACTTTTAGAACATTCACAATTGTCTTTCTGCTTCACTTATTTTGAAAATTCGGTTCATAGACCATACTCCTACATTAGGGATTATTATGGTCGTTTCTGAACAGGTAATATGGACATACCAGTGAATTAATTAGAATTGTAGAATTAATTATCTTAATTTTTTATTTCACATAGTACCAGCACATTTAGCTATACATCACTAGATCGCGTTGTAGCCTTTTACAGCATTTCAACAAGGCTGAAATAAATCCAAATTAATATAGAGGGAAAAAAAGCCGTCATCACAGTCGTGGTACATAAACATTTTTACCATCAAAGGCAACACACTGCTCACTAAGTCACCCTAAAAAAAAGATAACTCACTTAATACAGGTCTTAGTGAAAATATAGGCCTACATGTCCTACTTTTTGGGTATTATTAAACTTCTAAGTTACATAAAGGACATTCTAGAAACAGAACAGGGTCTCCTTTCAATGTCACATAGGCTACGTATTATCTGGTCTGACTGAGGTGGATTGATTGGCTATTTGTTTGTAGGCTATATTATTTTTGCCTGATGTTTAATTTCAATGTCATGGCTCAATTCCGTTAAGCGTGGTCCTAATCGGGGTTAGGAACCCGGTTCACAAATGGGACACAGGATGTGGCCTACATTAAATAGCCTACTTCATCAAAAGAAATGTAAGCAAATTTTGACCCCATCAAGGATATTACAAACTCATTATCAAACGTATTATCAATGCAAATGAAACAAAAATAAGCAATGCCACAATTTTAAATCACAAAGTAATTCTTACATTTGAACCACAAATAACATCCGAATGCGTTCTTGGTTTGAAACTATTACTACGACCATCCTCATCGTATTAGGCCTACGTGTTTCTCCCAAATCTAGAATAAGAAATGTTAAGTATTTCTGGGTAAATCTCAGTAATTTTGAGTATCTTTTTACATCACAGTCGAATACATTTTGATTTAAGACAAATAGCCTATGCACTTTGGATTCTGCAGGTGCGTGCTTGAGGGTTTAAAATCTAACCTACATGCTATGCATTATTAGGTAAAGGACCAATATTTATTACGGTAAAAAAAATATTAAGTCAAATGATATTTGTATTAATTCACAGCTGATTGTTTGGTTAAAATAAAAAAAAATGATTCAAATGTTTTGTTAATTGGTTATTTAATTTGTAAGGACATCATGTGTTTGTCTTTAGGACCGTACGTGATGGCAGAGAGTGAGGAAAACAAACGCACGAGGACAGCCTATACGCGCGCTCAGCTCCTCGAGCTCGAGAAGGAGTTCCTGTTCAACCGATACATCTCGAGGCCGCGGCGCGTGGAGCTCGCGCTCACCTTGAGCCTTACCGAGCGACACATCAAGATCTGGTTCCAGAACCGGCGCATGAAGTGGAAAAAGGAGGAGGACCGGAGGCGGGTGAGGGGAGCCGACCCCGACCAAGACTCCTCCATCACCTCTGGTGACCAGGGGGATGCTGCGGGTGGGGTCTCCTCCACCTCACCACCTGTTTCCCCGTTAACTCGTCACTCCCTATCTGCTCCTACACACAGAGAGCCCACATAGACCTGCTGGAATGTCCCAATATACGTGAACTGATATTACAGGGTTGTTTTTCCAAGTTCCTCATAAGGCTTTACCGTGTGACTGGATTTTAGTGTAAGATCCGAAGTTAGAAAACTGCAGCACTAAGTCTCCATTTCTCCATAGAGTTCAGAGTGAGATTATGGTGCCAATTTTCCAAGGACTCCCATGAACTTTAGGGACTATCTTTATCGTCGTTATTGGATGGGCATGCCCATCTGTCATTTTCTGGACTTAAGGGACATATTTTCATCCCATTTCATCATGCATATGTTCACAATCAAATCATGGAAAATCCAACTGCTTTGTATCCCCTGTTAGAGTCAGGAAATTGGATTACACCAACTCCCATATAGTGTAACCAAGTTTTACATCACATCACTTTTCACCTCATGTCCTTTGTATAAATGTATTGATGTATATATGCATAATATGACTGTCCTCCTATTTCAGCAAATATTGTGTAAAGTTTAAATTTGCTATATCACATATTTTATTGTTTGAAGAATTGATTGTATGGTACAAGATTAATAAAACACAATACATTTGTAACAAAACCAATAGGCTACTGCAGCATATTCAAGTGGGGAGGGGGGGGTCTAAAAAAGGTGGTTTAACCAGGGGCGTGTCCAGAGGATGGCATGGGAAAAACTTTAACTGATTGGTGCCACCACAAAATCCTGAACACTGATGCACTACATGTCTGATCGGGGACTTGTTGATATAAACTGTTCTGGGTGTGTTGAAACACTCCTGGCTTTCTTTGCATTAAAATGTAGCACAATTTATCCTTTTGAGCACAACTGTAGAAAAAGTATTTGCACATCTTTTACAAAAGACGGGTTTACGTACTGACACATTGCCAAAAATAATCTTTTTGCTTGTCAATAAAGTGTGCAGGGGTAGGCCTATGTTTACAATTGTTCAAGTTTGGACATACATCATTACAGAATCAAACTTATGGATTTAATTGTATTTCCACTTTGCTGTGTTACTTTGTAAAGTTTAAAAAACAACAACACAGGAATATAACATTTAGATGATACTTTAATCTCAGCACTAAAAGACATGATTATTGGAGACACAAAGAGTAAATGAATACTATTCATAGTCATGTCACAAACATCATGCCACCCCACTATAAGCGCTACAGTTGGCCCACCCCCCCGTCAAAAAGAAAAACAGATCTGGACACGCCCCTATGTTTAACTGGCACAGCAGAATTCCAACATGAAATACAGGTTCATAACTTGTTGGAAGCGTCAGCGAGGAGCGCCTGTAAACGCAGACGACATATCTTCTTCACCTCCTCGATGCCGCGCGCCCTCTCCACAGCGCAATCGTTGTGGCGGCGCGCGGACAGCTGACGTAATATGTCCTCCTTGTCGTTCATCCTCGCGCAAATGACGAACGGGAATCCAAAGCGCTGCTTGTACCCCTCGTTGAGCCGGGCCATGCGCGTCGCCTCCGCGGAGCTCAGAGCATCCATACCTGCGCCTGCCTGCTCCTCGAGCGAGTCTCGAGTCAAGGTGCCGCTCTGGAGGTCCCTTCCGGCGAGGTCCGGGTGACACCTGAGTATTCCCTCTTTACCTGGACACATACAAAGAGTGTTTTTTTTTGTGTGCACAGTTTCTTAACTATGACCAAAAAAACAACAACGCACAAAAGTCTGTACTGCGTATTTAGACTGTGTCTCACCTGAGTCTGGTAGAGCGTCGATGAATTCACTAATCGCAGTCTCCAAAGTCGACAAACTCAAAAATGGACGACTGGACCACACAGCCGCTGCAATTAAAGGACATTTCTCCACCACATTACCGAAAATATTCACAAAATCCTCGTATGGAAGAGTATTTACTGTGGAGACGTCCATTTTTCGAGTGGGGCTCCGCTTTTTTCACCTTCGGACAAAACCTTTGCAGCAGACCTGAGGGTCAATGCACCTTTGGACATGCACTCAACTCTCAACTCTACTTTGTGTGTATATCACTTTGTCTGTGCACACAACACAGTTGATCCAAAGTGCTGAACAGCGCAGATAAAACAACAAATAAAGCACAAAGAGAAAGCTCCCCGTTCGTCAGACTTAGGTTAATGTTTTCTGTGTGTCGGAGCAGCTGTCAATCAGCTGCATTTTGTAAAGTTAGAGTTTCTCGACTCGATGAAAAAGCGATTGAATCAGACATAAATTTGCTTCAACTTCCACAACACGCAGTCTGCTCTCTGGCGTCTCCTAGCGCACAATGAAGGGAACTGCCCGTTAATGTCAGGTATTACCAGGGTAACAATTTGAAGGTGACTGAATACAAGAGCAAAACTTATAGGCCGAATGAAGACCATGTTCAACAAGTTCTGATAACTTGGCTCATTTCTTTTCTGATGTAATGAAAAATTGTTCCTCTTTTGTCTTTTGGAAACTGCTTAAGAACACTTTGAAAATTGTCAGATTAGACAGCTTCAATGTAAAAGTTTTCTTTATTGAAACACTAAAACTTAAACGTGTACAAAGACATGATTCAAAGCCTTTAAAATATTGAATAACAGCCAAAAGCTTTGAGAAATTATATCAACATGCACAAAAATTAGGATTCATCTTCAAATTAGAGCTGCGCACTGAAGAAAACAAAAAAAGTACAATTATATGACACTGTTTAACAACCACTTTGGGAAAAGTGTTGTTTCTATTTGTAGATATAAAATGATTGAAAATGATTTCAAAAGTTGCGACAGTCGGGGCGCTGGTGGCGCAGTGGTTAGTGCTCGCGCTATCTGATTTCTGACTATCCACTGTCCCATCTCTCCAATAAAGGTACAAAAAGCCAAAAAAAATCTTTAAAAAAAAAAGTTGCAACAGTCTATAGCTCTATAATGTACATGGTAAAAACATTTAATTCCATTTTCATATGTTCAGCCTTTCTGAGAATATCCAGTATCCTTTAATCGAAGATGCTTTTCATGTTTAGCTGCACAGTAAAAAAAATCATTAAAAACTGAAATGCTGTATTTGGGTTCAGAACACATTATCATAAGAATATAAATCACAGAATATCTTATTAAAACCTTATGTTTTGCAGAATATATAATAACTCTTTAGATAATAATCAGGGGAAGAACTTTAAATAAACTGCCATTAATAGTTATAACAGTCATAATCAAATTCAGCGACGAAGCATTCAGCAATAGTTGATCACTCTGTATCAAACGTCTTCAGAAGCTTCTCCTCAGCAGCCTCTGCGTCTGGACTTTCTGCTTTGCTGTCTTCGGTCGGTTGGGTTCGACAGTAGTCATTGGCAGATTGCGTGTTGTTCTTATCCCGTGTAGTCAAGGCAGAAATGTCCAAAACATCTGCGGCATTCTGGTAGATGGTGGACGTCTGCTCAATCATGTTGTGGTATATCTGGAAGAGGATTAAGTTCAGATAACGCTCAGCTTCTATGTTGAAACTTTATAAACATCAGTGAAGGTAAAGAGGATAACATTCGGCTGAGAAATATGTTGATTTCATGCAACAGGTCTACCTTTTCTTCTCTGTCCATCAGTCGATCACACATAAAGGAGACCGCTTTAGAGAAAGATGGTCGATTGCAGGGATCCAGAGCCCAACACTTACACATCATCTCATACCTAGGCAATGCAGTCACAGGGAAAAGAGATGAAATATTCATACATATGTTTGAGATCTTTTCAGAAAAGACAGTCTTGTATTTAGTACCCGTACTTATAGCCCTCACTTCAAAGAAAATACTGTCAACTAAGTAGTGAAGACTTATCGACTAAATTTACTAAATGTATTAAAGTTACTGTAAAATGTAAAAATCTGTAAAAAGTACTTTTAGTGTTTAATAACTGTAGTATATTAAAAAAGTCTTCATTTCTTATTTAAGTCAAATAACATAGAATATTAGCATACAATTAGTACAAATTAATTACAAGTGCATCAAAAAGTTCTTTTCAGTTGTTGTGTTTGTGTAATCATTAGCATTAGCATCATTTATATTTATTCTGCCTCATTCTGCTTTCCTGCTTCGCTTCATTGTTATTATATCAGAGCTGGTTTCTTTAAAATAAATAAATAATGTTTCTACATAAATATAAGGGTCCCATAAAGACTGAAAAACACCTACACAGACTCGTCAGCGTAGTATGGACACTCCATCTTGAACCCTTTTTCGATCATTGAGTAGAAAGTATGATCCACCTTCATGCCCGGGTACGGAGTAACACCTAAGAGCACAAAGTCAGACAGACAGAGCTGGTGTTAATCATTGTGCAAGGAGTGATTGTGTGCTTGCTCTTTTAAAATGTACTGCTAACGAAAGGAATAACCAAGTGAGAAGATCTCCCAGAGCAGGATGCCATAAGCCCAGACGTCACTCTTCATGGTGTATATTCCCTGAAAGGTGCTCTCTGGGGCCATCCACTTCACTGGTAGACGCACCTGACAGACAGCAAAGACACGTCAGCGTATGTGTGAGAAGTGGTCAAAGAACTTTCAAACAACTGAGGTTGTAAGAAAAAGCTGACATACATTTCCTCTCACGACGTAGTTGGAGTCGTTGTCAATGTCTCGGGCAAGACCAAAGTCACCAATTTTCACCAGTCTGCCCTTTGTCACTAACACATTCCGAGCAGCCAGGTCTCGATGGATGCACTGCAGACAGACAGGACAGCATGTGAGGATACAGGCTCCCATCATACATCACACAATCCACAAAATCAAGCACATCACTTATTATATTGTACATCTGAAGCTGATCTTTTTTTATTTGTCCTCATGAGCATTTACAGAATTTACATGTAGCATTTAAGGTTTCGGAACAATATGTTTTACATTTATGTTGTATTAAACCTCCATTTTTATCTCCTCCATTATCTGAGAATTTAAACTCAAAAACATTTATCTTTTTTAAGAATCAACAAATCAAGCAGTCATTTCATTTATTACAAACTTTTAATCAATGAATCGTCTCAGCTCAAGTGATGTGAATAATTAAAGCGTTGAACTAAAAGGCCTCATTTATTCCTCCTAAGAGTCTGGGGATGACAGGAAACGGCAAACAGAGAGAGTTCCCATGCTGCTGCTGCTCTTTTTGTCTTACATTCTTGGAGGAGAGGAACTCCATCCCTTTGGCCACTTGGAAGGCAAAGCTGAGCAGGTCGTCAAACGTCAGGGTCTGAGGGTCCTCCGTCAGATCACCTGGATGTTCAAAGATATCTGGAGCAGTTGAGACAGGTAGAGATGAAACATTTGCAGAACTCTAAGCTGTAGGTGTTGATATATTAGTATGAAAACATGTTCTGCCTTCAGAAGGGTGTTTCACCTTCAAAGTTGTCCATGTCAGCGGAGTTGAGAGTGAGCAGGGCGATGTCCTCCTGCCCTCTGGTGGTGGTAGGGTACATGGGCATGTAATTACCAACTGTGCTGTCGAGCTCACTGAGAGAACAAAGTCATGTTAAAATCACACTTAAAGTCATTCTTGCCTTTAGTCACCTTCATTGCTTCATTATTCTCAGCGTTGTTCCTCGCTTCATTTGTTCCCACCTGGAGCTCTTGCTGGACTGCAGGTTGTGGTACAGGCTGTGAAAACGGTCCTTGTTGAAAGCGTCAGTCACAGACTTGTGGTATTGCTCTCGGTTTTGCTTTAGGTAGTTTAGTAAATCTCCATAACAGCAGTACTGAAAAATCAGATAAGTGGGTCCTGTCGAGGAAATATTAGTAATCATTAATAACACTTTACTTAAACCCTCTTTAATATTTATAAGCACTGAATAAGCATTATAATGGTTTATTAAACAATCTTGTAGTTGTTAGCGTACAATCTTGAAGCGTTTAAAGATGTAAAATATGTGAGTATAACTTGTTACTATTATTATCATGAAGCAGCAGTAAACATACCTGAGTCTGTGCATGCCCCCAGCAGGTTAACAATATTGGCATGGTGACCGATGTGAGTCAGCATCTTCAGTTCTGACATCAAAGCTTCCTTCTCCACAGTCTGGTGTTTCTCTGAATGCGAGTGTGCGAGTCAAACACCACATCAGATACTGCGATGACCTCCATGACATTTCCAATCTCTGCCATGAAAATAACGACACCAAACACTGACCTTTAAGCATCTTGACGGCCACCTGCTGAGAGACTCCAGGCTTGTTGATGCCGTAAGCCGTCGCCTGGACCACCATGCCAAAAGCTCCAGAGCCAAGCTCCTTACCTGAGAGGCAACACAATAACACCCTCGGTATAAATGATCGGGACGAACTGACTCAACTTATTAAGCAATGTTTTGAAAATAAAGCCAGAAACTAGTGGGGGTCTTTCATAATAATTAAGTTGATGCAAGCCCTAAAGAGCTATTCCCCCTCTTACTATACCAGATGGTTTCCTTTAGGCTTCATCATTTGTGTGACTCTTTGAAGGGCTCTGTACCCTAAATCAAGAGCCTCTGGAGTGGACTACTCTATATCACATTAACTATACTTAAAAAAAAAAAAAAATTTAAACATTACAGTTCGATTTAATGAAGTGGGATGACGTATTTGGCACTGATTCTGATTTCTGAATGCCTTCCACCTTCTATAATAACCATGCCCTGTCATTTTTGCCAGATCCTTTGATTATAAGAAATGAGGAGTTATAACTACAGCTAAAACAGTAAACCTCTTCTAGAGTTTAAAATCACTGTGTTGGTTCTCTTTCTTTGAGTAAAGGATTTTAGTTTTCCCAACGCAAAAGTCTGCTATCACAGCTCGTGTCTGCCGATCATACCCAGTTCCAGGTTCTCTCGAGGAAACTCCCACTTCTGGTTGTACTCAAAATCTTTGAAGTTTATGTAGATGTAATCATTGTCATTGGGTCCAACCGTCTGGATTATCTGAAGCTGGGACTGGTACTGGGGTTTCTGTCGGAGAAGCAATATGGTCATACTCCTGTGTGTTTTTATGTGTATGTAAGCATATTGATGTGTCATATTTACCTTCTTTCTGACAAAGTATGTTAGCACCACAGTAAGTATTACTAAAGCCACCAGTAAAATCACACTGCCTACTTTCAGCAGCATCAGGCTGTCGCTCTCATGATATGGAGCACCTAAAAACAGTAAGAACAGAGTGTTTGTACTGACAGTCATTATTACAAAGAAGGGAAATTATATTCGCTTGTGACATCATGGTACTCACTTCTGGAGGCCTTCATTGAAGGTGGGTAGTACATTTGGCACCAGGAGCCAACTGAGTTTGTCAGACAAAACCTTAAATTGTGTCCATCCACAAGCTTTCGGCTCAGCGAGCTCTTGATTGTCTTGTTGCATGAAGCGTTTGAGTCTGTTCCAAAGGTAGATGGGATCTTTTTCCAGGAAGAGTCTGAGTTACAATCACTAAAAGACAAATAGCTAAGACTTTAGAAAATCTGAATCTGCACATTAGGGTGCCCTTTGACCTGAACAGATCGGACAGTGAGTGTACCTGTCGTTGGCTGAAGAACAAGACATCCAGGTGTAATTTGCTGGCACAAGAGTCACAGTCAGAAAGGTGAAGGCATCATTGTCGATATCTGTGTTGAATTTGAACTCCGGACGGTCTGAAGCAAAGTCAGTGGACATTACAATTTCATCCATTTGAAATGTTGTTGTATAGACATAACATAGAGACAATAAATACATCTCTTACCTACAACACACACTGATATAGTCTTTGTTTCATTTTGTCCTCCAGCCTTCAAGTGCAACTTGTAATCTCCTGATTTGAGTGGATCACAGTGCTTCACAGTGCTGCAGAGAGAGTGTAACATTTACAAACTCTAAAAGTCATATCTCTTTATCAGAATATCTCAATTGGTTGTATTTTCAAATGGTCAAAGGTGATGTTCATGGAGAGACATTTCTTCAAGTTTCATGGAAAGAGTTAGCTCAAGAGAGAAGGAGCTAACCTATGTTTCGTCACCCATTCGTCCCTCAAACATTTTGTCACGGTTTTATCCGGAGCTTCCCAGAAACACTGCTCAAGCACAGAGTAGTAAGAGATGCTGGCTTCCAGACAGGAGCTTGAGGCACGCTCAGCTGGTAGGATCTTACTTTCATTCAGCTTGGAAATAAGGAAACCCTCAGCTAATGAAACACAAGAACGAAAACCAGTTCATTCATAATGGGACTAAAAATAAGACAGAACATCATTTTTGGAATTTAGATCTACATACCCTGAATGTTAACGTAGACAGACTTAGTTTTGTTCGATGGACTTCTGCAGGTATATGTGCCACTGTGGTCCACACGGACAGATTGGATGAACAGGTAGGTCAAGCAACTCTTGTAAATGCAGTCATTTTTTATGCAGATCTGTGGCAGGAGCATTAGAAGTTAGGTGGAGAAGACTTTTGCAGCAGTTGCGTCTTGTCTCAAGTCAAATTAAATTGGTAAGTTAATTCTTTAAAAAAAACATGAAGGTAAGAAAGTCAACATGAAGTTACTGTACCTCCTTTTTGATTGTGGAAGAGCACTTCAATGCCTTGTCATTCAAGCTTCTGTTGCCGATCTCCCACACAGCTGTCGGTGGGTTATATTTCTTTATTCTGCAGCGAAGCAGCAAAGGCTGACCAGGGCTAAAAGTCACATTAGAAACCTCTCCCTTTCTCATAACATCAGTCTCTACGTCTGAAACACACACAAAGCAATATGTTTTCAACTCTCTTGAATTGTTTGCAATAGCATGATTCATCAGGGATTAATCACTTTTCCTCCAACCTTTTCATAATCCAAACGAGGCAACTAAGTTTGAACCTATTTACTATGCATTCATTGCTTGCAGACCTTTTTTATAAGAATATATGAAATATATTTCAAAGTCATACCATAGTCATGAAGTTGGGAGCACTCTTGTCCTTCAGCGTTCGTAGCACAGCACATAACTCCTCTGTCGTAATAATTACTACTGGATACGCTGATTCCTGTACTTCTTTGGTCTTTGGGTTCAACTTTTCCATCAACCATTCTGTTAAAAAGGAGGACAAGATAAATTAATGACATTCATTACCATTCTTTAATTAGCCTTACAACATTATTACACATACTTATGCATAGACATGTAATGTATGACATCTTACCCAGACCATGTTATGCCAGGCTTTGGGTAGCCCTCAGAGATGCACGTGAAGTCAGGAGAAGTATTTATGGTATCCACACGGTCCAGAGACAGCATTGGTTTTGTGGGACGTGCTAGAAAAACATTTTTTTTTTTTTAACATTATATTATTACAGCATGAAACAGTCTAGCATTTGTGTGCGGTGTGATCGATGACTGAGCACAGCAGTAGAGAGGTGTTACTCACTCGTGACTGCTTGAAGAGACACATTCATGGAGGAGCTGGTGCCATTGCTGGTTTCACAGCTCAACGTGTATTCCCCTAAATCCGCCTCAGAAAGAGGTTGAAAGACCAAAAAACGATGCCCGTGTCTGGTTGTTAAAAGACACTTCTGGGGTTAACCCTTCACAAACTCCCCAAAAGAATGAAAGGAAATGCATTAAAGCACAAATGCAGACATTCACTTACTCTGTCTTTACTGTGGTTGGTACCGGTTCTGTTCCTCTGGTCCAGCTGCAGTATTCAGGTAAGTGATACAGGGAGATCAAGAGTTCCATACCTACAAACACCTCCACGCTGACGGCACCAGACACATTCAGATAGTCAGCCGGCACAAAACACGCCACCTGAGAGACACAACACACCTTTCAATGACAGCATTAAGTTTGTCAGCATGACAAGACTATTGAATACCTTTATGTAACAAAAAACAACTTGCATTATCTTATTTGTATTTACTTAATGACATCCTCTTTACTTAAATTTCAACCAAAGATCAACATTTGAATTTCTAAAATGTAATGTTGACTTACAGCACATGGTGTTGTGAATAATATTTCTACTGTTACTTTTAAATAACTATTACTTTTTGCTAACTCCACCCCTCCTCTTTTTGTTCCTTATTTTAAAGCAGACTATTCTAGATATGATCGTGCTATATTCTGTAGGGAAACTGTATGTCTGAATTCCCCCTCAGGGGTAAATAAAGCATCTCTGATTCTGATTCACAATCACTGTCTTACATGCATTGTCTATTGAAGTATTTGTGACAGTAAGCCAGCATGCACAGTACCAGCATCGTGAAACTGAGAAGCTACTACCTTTACATCAAAATGAACTATTTAAAAGTAGTCTTTCTGCTGTTACAGCTCTCCAAGTTGTTATCTTTATGTACTGAAATGATACATAAAGTGAAAGTCCATGAACTGATAAACAGAAATAAAACCTGAGACCTGATTCATTCTAGTCTGATGCTATTTCCCTCTTGTATGTTTTACATCCTCTTGCTGCTTTGCAGTTTTGTTTCTCTGTTTCAAAGGGAATCCATTTTGTAATACAAGAAGAAAAATGTATGTTTGTTTCGTCAGGTAATATTATCCCGTGTTTGGAAGACAATGGCAGTGACTACAGGACAAAAGCATACTGTGCTGGATAAACCAACTTTGTATTTAATCATATAATTGATCAAATGATTATGGTTTATAACACCTCCAGTTTAAAGGTACTTCATGAGACTAAAGTAGGGGTATATTTTAAAGAAGCTGTAACTCATGCACATTTTATTTCAGGTTCAAAACATTCACAGGAATGTACCAGAGAATTTCCCTTTACTCATTCATTTTTCAGAGATATACAGTAAATCAAAAAGACTAATACATATTCAAACAATAAAGTTGTTCAATAAACACATAGTAAACTTTGCTTTCAGCGTTTACCTTTTGAGTGGATACACAGGCCTGATTCTGCCCTGCCACCCCATCAGAGCTGTGCAGCCCCACAGCGCACAGCAGGAGAACAGCTGGAAAGACAGAGAATTATTAGTTTTTATTCCAAATGATTTCACAAGTTTCCTCAGATGTCAGAGGTGACTACCAATCTTATAAACATGAAGCATTCAGACACGATAAACAACAAGTGAAAACATTATAACTTTTAAAGGTTAAAAAGTGAATTCCTTAGGTTATGTCTGCTTGGAGGTGATGATTGGTTGAACAGTATAATCGTTATACACTAACTCTCACTTATGCGATTAGACCAACACATATAATATTTTAATAAGCTATCAGCATCTCAACACAAGTAAGAAACTTTTCATCTGCTGTCCATCTCATATTGCAAATGTACAGCTGAATCAAGCGCAGGTAGCCTAGAGGTTATAGCCTGCCTCACGTACAGAGGCAGCCCGGGTTCGATTCTGACCTGTGGCTCCTTTCCTGCAAGTATTTTGCCACCATCTCTATCCACTGTCATGTCTCTCCAATAAAAGCCCCCCCCAAAAAAAGTACAGCTGAATTTTTATATCAACCAAATATTTGATATATTAAAGAATGTATTTCTTAGGTAGATTAATGAATTCCCATATACAAAATAAGATACTATCCTGTTGAATTAAAAAGTCTATATAAAAATCTGAAAATTAAAACACCAGTTCTTGAATACATGTTTGATTCGCTCATCCACAAAACATAGTATTTGAAATGATCGGACTTACCCACGATCATACTTTTCAGCCACATCTTTGATTCTCTCATTGTGTCAGTCACATAGCCTGCTCATCTGTCTAACAGCGACACTGTGATGTAGCAGATGTGGGTGAGTACTTTTAAAACGAAGGAAGTGTCTCTGAATGGGGCTGACAGCCACGCCTGGCAGTGTTATTTACAGTGTAAGAATGACCAGAATATGAAATCTTAAATATGCTTCATCATTTTTTTTTTTTGCAGATGAATGTTAGAACTTTATGGGGTATGCTTTACATTACAAATGGAATAACACGTTTTAGTTATACATTACTTGAAAAGCAAATACAAGAATTTGAGTGTCTCTCTCTCTCTCTTTTTTTTAAGACAATATGCTTGAAAATATTAAGAAGTTAACCTCACATGAGATATTTTCCCCGGATTACGTTTGAAACATATTTTTTCCACGCCTACCGAATATCTTAATTGATTCAAAAATAAAATGTCAAACTTTTCTTCTTTTTTTTTTAAACTAAGATCCTGATGTCTTTCTTGTATGTAGGATTCTAAAAAAAAACCCAATATATGACATAATTTATTACATCTATTCGGCAGTAGCCTAATATAAAACGGAACTCAACCAAACTCAAGGGAATGCAAAGTGAAAGGAATCAAAATGCAAAAAAAAAAAAAAGTGCTTTAAATGGATGTCAACTTCCTTCAGCTACATTTTCCAGTTGCTTTCCCTCCATCATGCACCAACTTCAATTTGCAGCTTGCATGTGCAGCAGGTAAACGCTGCAAACGCTGGTACCCACAATGCAAAGCTATGCTATCTGGTGCCTAGCAGAGCAAGCCGGACTGCAAAGCAAAAACAACAACAGGCTACTTTACGAAGAGGGCAGCTGCATGGATAGCGACAACAACGACGACCAGGACTCCGCGCATGCACTGAGATTTTCGTAAACCAAATGCATCATAGCCTTATAATGTGAGTGCTGTAGCGTATTTAGTGTTTATTACCAGCTGAAGTTATATTTTTTTAGGGGGGGAAAAGGCGTCTGCAGGCTAGCTGGCTAGCTCGCCAGCTATCTGCGTCTCTCTATGTTTGAGTATCTTCCGGCAGCAGCGGCGGCGGCAGCAGCGGTGCCATGAACAGTGGACTCCCAGCTTCAGCTGCTCCGCTCGGGGGTGTCGGGATACCCAACGTCAAGGTGAAGTTTTGCCGATACTACGCGAAAGATAAAACCTGCTTTTATGGAGAAGAGTGTCAGTTTCTGCACGAAGATCCGTCCATGGCTGGGTTACCACTGCACGGAGGCGGCGGCGGCGGCAGCCCTGTCCCGTTGTCCATGACTGCGGGTGGCGGGACGCCAGGGGGGTATTCCCTGGGTGGCTCCACAGCGGCCTGTCCAGGCGGGGGGACCCCTGTGCCCAAGAAGAACGAACCATTGGGGCCTGCAGGCACTTCTCTGGAGGGGCAGCTGTTAACAAGTAAGTGTCAATTACAAAAAAACACACAAGGCCGCAAACACAGTGACTGACTGTGACTTTACTTTTTTGGGGCCTTGTTTGGCTTTGTTCAAATTTAGCCCGGGGATTCACTGAGGCCTCACAACAACGTGGGGTACTGTTGCGTGCCAAACACTGCTCAAAGCTTTCCCATGTGCAGCTTTATCGTGAGCTGTCCCATGCAAAGCTTTTTTCTTTTTACTACAAGTGGTGTGAACAAGTGCTGTAAAAACAACTCACAACATTATCAACGTGTTGCAGTCCACGGGGGAGGCTCGTGTTTAGTGTGACAGCTGTGAGTGGGCAGAATACACGACCCACGACATTTAGCCTGTGTAGCAATTAGCCAGCTAGTTAGCTTCAGTTAATCAGCCTATTATTGGCCACTTTTAATTAAATGTAACATGTGTTTTGTCACGTTTTTTCGCTATTGCTTAAAGTGCAGTTGTATGTTGTTTCTGCGCCCTGAAGAGGGGCTGTCAGGATGAAAGTTTAGTGTTTATAAAAGTATCACAGCTACACTAGTTGTTCACTGGATGTGTTCCTCAACGTAAACAAACATCAAGTAACCAACTTTATGTTTTAAAACTTAAACCCAGTATTGTTGTGCTGCATGCTGCAGTCTTGGAAAGTGTTTACCCATGCTGACACTCAAACGCACGCTTTCCCACCATTTCTTTCGAAGGGCAGGAAAGTCATTGGTTATCAATCCTAAAACATTTGTTTTTGTCCTCCACAGTCCCAGGAATTGAAGGCACAACCCTGAGTGATGCCAATCTTACCAACTCTTACTTCAGCAGCAGCTTTATCGGGGTCAATGGCTTTGGAAGCCCAGCAGAGTCAAAATACTCCATGATGCAGGTACGAAAAGGGGGGAAAGTGGATTTACAATCCTCAGTGTGATTTAAAAAATTGCATTGCACATTTCTTTCTTCTTATCTGGTCACATTATTTTGCTGTCCTTGAAGATAAAGATGTGCATTACAGCAGCTCCAGAAAACAGGGGGACGGGAATATACTTATTAAAAATAGAAGTTAAAAACAGATCAAACATATTTACATCATTTAAATAAAAATAGAATAATGTAAAATTACACAGTACACTTGAATCATTTATTTATTTAAAATATTGAAAGTATTTTGTATTGTAATATATTTGTAAACAAAAAGTTACTTTCTTCATCAGCGCCAACATGGAAAAGTGGCGCGCCACTTAGGGAGCAGCAGCATGTGCTGAAGTTTACTGACGTGCTATTAGCTGTGCAGCTTGTGCCTTGGTATGCCTTTTGTCAGTCACAACAGTACCGACTACTTTCCACCACCAGTGGTAGACCATGCTTACTTATGACTTTTTTTTATTTTAAAGATTTATTTTTGGGCTTTTTATGCCTTTTTTTAATGGAGAGATAGACAGTGGATAGAGTTGGAAATCAGGGAGAGAGAGTGGGCAACGACATGCGGGAAAGAAGCCACAGGTGGGATGCGAAGCCGGGCCGCCCGCTTGAGACGACAGCCTCAATACGTGGGGCACGCGCCCTAACCAGCGCGCCCCTGCTTGGATAAGCTTTGCTCCCAGCTTACTGGTATCATCGGCAAGGATACGCCAATGACTTTTCTTTACCATCATCACACACATATGAAACAACTTTCAAGTTACGTGCCTTAAACCAAGACCAATGGTATTAATTTATATGTATCTCTCCATCATGGTGGTGGAAGATAGGCTGTACTGCTGTGACAGACGAGTGGCATACATTCTACTGACCACCACATACTGCTGGCCCTTGTGACATGCTATCGGCCACAGCACACGCTACAGAACTTGAGCATATGCTGCTGACTTTGGGCACATGCTGCCGTTTCCTAAGTGGCATGCCGCATGACACTTTTGGATCTCAGTCATTCCCTTTTTTATTCACGTTATCATATCACAAGATGAAGTTAGCAGTATTAGTAAACCCTTTAAAACTAGAATACCTTCTGTAACACATCTGTTCTTAATGTTGTCCTATTTAGCGAATGACGACCAGCAGCAGCTCTCCCAGTCTACTAAATGATGGTGCCAAGAATTTCAGCCACAGCGCTCATGGTAATTCCCCTACCACACTACCTATGTAGAGTAGTACACATTGTTTGAATACTGAAGGTGGCACTACTTAACTTCTTACACCCTTTGGCCTCCTGCAGATTCAGTGAATTCCCCGACATCCTCACTGTTCAGTGATTTTGGTGCTCTTAGCATTTCCCAAAGGAGAAAGGTGATCACACATCTATCCATTTTAACTTTTGTGATTTATGATTGCTTAATTTCCTTCCTTTTTCTGAATTTAAACTAACAGAAGTGGTACATTAATGTTATTGAATTCTTACACATGTGTCCTTGTGCCACCAGGCTCCTAACCCAGCAGCAAGTGAGTTCATCCCTAAAGGAGCTCCACGCATGGCCACCATGGCTCAGTCCACTGTCCAGGCCTTCCCCTCGCCTATCTTCCCACATCCGGGCCTCAGCAGCTCCACAGCTGCTGCACTGGCTCCAGGTGATGGTGAATTCCCAATTGATAAATCACACTTTTTTTTTTTTTTTTTTACATGTTTTGATCTAACTTTAACATGGCTTTGTTTTGTTTTCCACATTGAGCTCTGAAATTGAGCAGTTTAGTAAGTAAGTTATTTTTTTGTCTCCAATTTTAGGTATGTCCCTGTCTGCAGGTTCTTCACCTCTCCACTCCCCAAAAATTACGCCACATAGCTCACCTGCTCCCCGTCGGCGGAGCCACACCCCAAACCCTGCCAACTACATGGTACCCACCACTGCGTCCGACCCAAATACTCATATAATCCAGAAAGAGACTGTAGGGGGGACCACCTACTTCTACACAGACAACACGCCGGCACCCATGGCTGGGATGGTATGTTCTGGATCCTACTCTTATTTTAGTCAGGAAGTACTTGTAGGCCAAATCTAGGTATACTCTACAAGAGTTTCAAAGTGTAAACATTGGATGAAAGCAGAGACACTGCTTTTAAATTGAGTTTTCTTTTGGTTGCAAGAGTGTTGGCTCCTCAACTCCAGCACATAACAGTCTGTTAGCTTAATAAAAAACACACCTCCCCCCCAAAACAAAAATGCATTAAGCAAATTCTAGAGTTATAATGTGACTTTTATATTGCGTTGTATATTTAACTCCTGACAAAAGACTTGTTCCATTAAATTCATTTGTGTCGCTTATGTCGTGAGCTTATGCAAAAAATAATACATGTTTGTTTGGTGCCACTGGTTTTCGATTCTCAATAAATGGGAAGTTGTGTCTTTCTGGTTTCATTGCAGGTGTTTCCTACATACCATATCTATCCCCCCACTGCTCCCCATGTGGCTTACATGCAGCCAAAAGCAAATGCCCCATCCTTCTTCATGGCTGATGAGCTACGACAGGTAGTTTCCACTCAGTTATATTTTGTTCCACGCTAAATATCTGTGTGTCTTATCTGGGGAACAGTGTCTGATGTGACTACCTTCATTTCTTTTCCAGGAATTGATAAACAGACATCTGATAACCATGGCCCAGATTGACCACTCAGAGAACCCAGGTAAAGGGTCTTCTGTAACGTCACAACAAAGAGTAATTTA